ACACACACACACACACACACACACACACACACATGCATGCACACACATGCACGCACACACATAGTCACTCACACTCACTCACACGCACACACACACACACACACACACACACACACACACACACACACACTTCTAAATGTATGTACGTCATCACTAACACTAGGCTTATGTGCCACCAGTGCATCCTGAACGACCAGGCTTGTATTGGAAACAGGCTTCTAGCATGTGAGACAGGCTACAGTACAATACAAGACTACACTACGGTACTGTAGAACGGGTAATTTTAGCGACGTAAAAACAAAAACCCTAGCGAATTTAGCGATCTACTCATTTTCGCTTAAGTTGCAAGTCGCTAATCCGTTGAGACATTAGTAGTGCACTGGTGATCCGTGAGTAAAATCGCTGCAAATCGCTAAAATAAAACGTCGCTAACCGGTTGACAATGGGAAAACGCTAAAATTACCCGTTCTACAATATACACGTACAGCGAAACTTCAGTGAGGGGTCGTTGCAAAAGTTTTTCGTCGTCCCCGAAACAAACATCGTTCATTTCGTACTCCAACCCCCTCCCCTCCCTCTGAAACGAACACAGCTTGCTGTGCTGGACAACGAAAATCACCTGCATGTACATGTCATATGTACGGTGTCGGTCGCCTTGCGATTTTGGCTAGCACTCCCCCCCCAAACGAATGATGTTCGTGTCAGGGATGACAAAAAAACTTTTCCGACGACCCCTAAGTACAATGGACATAGCACTTGTGATTATAACGTGCTACGGATAAAATAAAGTATGAGTTCGAGGGCTGTCGAGTTAGCTAACTGTTACACTAGTCATTTAAAAACTTCTCTTGTAAAGTGTACGCTTTCTACGCCCAGCACTCGCGTAAAGGCCGATTCATACTTTAATTCGCGTACGGGAAAGCCATCGTGCGACCGCCGGGCGACGACTTTCCCGTGTGCGAAATAGTTGAGCTCAGATCAACTTTTTCGCGACGCGACGCGTTTCCCGCACGCGAAATGAAGCACGAATCGGCCTTTATGCAGGGACCATGCCCATGGCCAGCACTCGTGTAATACATGGGCCATGCGTGCTGCTCACTTACCGTGCAGGCTTTGGCGGATCCAAGTCACTCGGCTCAAGATAGTACCAGCCCTCCTCGATGGAGAGACTACGCGCCGCCATGCTGCCAGCCGACCGAGGATCACTGCCCATCGACTGGGAGCGTTTCTTCATGGACACGACGGCATAGTCGCTGGGATAGTGGTGTGGACTCTGTGTATGATACAGACATAGACAGAGACATAGAGAGAGGAAGATAGAGGGGGGGGGGGGGGGTCCGCAATCAAACATTACACACCAAAAGATTGAACATAACCGGCAACACACTTTTTCTGCAGGTCACGACCCTATCCGATCATGCATATTAGCGTAATCTGGAGTATCTGAAACTCGTGAAAAGATGCGAAAGCACTTGAAAACGTACCACATCCGAGCCGGAGGAGACAACTCGCACCATGCCGCCCGGCACACTTGTACTAGTGCCGACGCTACCAACGGGCGCGGACGTCACCTCAACACCACCGACAACAGCATCAGGAACGCCAGCTACACCACCAACACCGTTGCCGTTGGCCGCACCGGAACTGGAGTTGGCGGCGTTACTTCGCAAATTGTTATAGAGAAGAGATATCTCCGAGAAGGGAACGTTCTTCAGCTTGCGGATGTTGTGGCAGAGGAAGTCGAATACCAACTGCTTTCTGAAAGCATGAAGAACAAGATGAAACACAAGACGAAAAAAACAGACAATGGGAGTCAGAGCAGGGTCTATCTCGGTCAAGTCGTAATTCGTAAATGCACGCACGCACGCACGCACGCACACATACACACACACACACGCACAACATCGTGCATACCGTATATTCTCTATTATAAGCACAGGTCTCCATTACTAGCACACTGTGAGCACCTTTCGAAACATTACAAGCACAGTCCCTATTATTAGCACGGTCTTGGTGGAAATCAATGCTGCATGCATGATATCTAGCATGTATTTCTTCTTGCTCTGTATGGATATATTGGTTGAAAAAAATATAAGCACGGTCTCCAATATAAGCGCGGTCTCCAATATAAGCACGGGGTAGAGAGGTGTTGAAAAAATAGAAGCACGACGCTTATAATACAGAATATACGGTATACAGTTATACCAAGAGTAGATAAACAAGAGTGTGCAACTCCGGATCTCTTCTGCACAATCTGCAGATACCCCCGCCCAAGGCGGAATTTTTTGTTGACGTCACCTTTTTTCAGGGAAACGCGGACTTTGCCGCAGAGCAGTGTGAGAGCACGTGCTGGGCACCGACCTTGTAGTCCAAAGCCCCGCCAAGTGCACGAGGGAAACCTCTCCGAAAGGCTCGCAGCGCGTGCGTCGTCGAAAAGATTACGTCAACAAAAAAATTCCGCCGTGGGCCAACCCATCCGCGAGTTGCACACTCTTGTTTATCTACTCTTGGTTATCTACTCTTGGTTATCTACTCTTGTTTATCTACTTTTGTTTATCTACTCTTGGTTATCTACTCTTGGTTATCTACTCTTGGTTATACTGTTATATATACAAACACACATACCGGTGCATGTGCCCCTCTCCATAATGCACACACACACACACACACACACACACACACACACACACACACACACACACAGACCCTGGGCAGCAAGAACTCACTTCGCTCCAGGTATGGCAAACACGTGTTCCTTCTCCGGCTCGGACGTTTCCTGACTCAGCGGTTGCGTTCTCATGCACAGGTAACCGGGAAGAGACATGTGTTGGAGCGCTGGCCGAGACATGTCATCATCCACTGAAACACACACACACACACAGGCGCACACACAGGCGCACACACAGGCGCACACACACACACACACACACACACACACAAAGAGGTCAGGCGGCATAATATTAATACTGGTACCATGAGAAAAGAAGAAAAATGTGAAAAATACAGAGACAGAGCCCGAGATGAGGCCACATACAGACACAGACACATGCAGACACACAGACAGACAGACATGAAAAAGAGAATGCACTTGTCACAAGCGGTGACACTCATCACAATCTCCCGACTACATGAAAGGAAGAACACGAGCTGTGTTACATACGGGTGCTGGAGCGTTGCCGGAAGAGACCTTTCCGCTTGTTCGGACTGCGACCAATTGACGAACCACTACCTGTGGGTCCGGCAGTAGTCAAGCCGCTACTCTTTGTGTCACTACTGCCGCTTGTCTGTCTCTGCATTGGGCTCTTCCCCGGTGAGGGTGCAGGGCTGGGAGCACTGAACAGGAAAGAGGAGAAGAAGAAGACTGAAATCACTTCCAAGAAGCACAATTTCGTAGATCAGCAAAGTTGTATACGAGTTTGTATTGTGTGTTCGTATGAACCAACAGGGTTTGCTAGTATGCCGCCATCATGGGATACGGAATCATTTTGGATGGAGCACTAAAACTGCTTGCATGACCTCATCACTGGACAATGAAACACGATATCACATGGCTTGCTAGCATGACATCATCACGGGCCACTACAAATGTCTGCATGATGTCATCATTGCAGGATGACCCATCACACAGCACAGGATTTGCTAGCATGACGTCATCACGAGACACGGTCCACTTCAAACGTCTGCATGATGTCATCATTGCAGGATGATGACATCACATGACATGGGCTGCTAGCACCACATCATAACAGTACAATGCTGTACTCCACGTGGCAGCTGTGCATGAGGGGACAGTACAAGCCCCAGGAGAGGGCATACCACTGATTCCCATCGATCTCGTTCCACTCATGCCGACACCCGCACAATGTGCAAGCCAACTAACGACCTACTCGTCCAGAAATTGCACACCCCTCTATGTTCAGTAAACCTGTTAAGGCGACCACTCGGATAAGGCCACCACCTGTCCTAGAAGGCCACTGCAACCAGCACCAAGGGATGCTATTTCCAGTCAAACGACCCCGGATAAGGAGACCACCTGGTTACCGAGACCACATGTTGAAGGTCCCTTGAGCGGCCGGTCGTCTTAGACAGGTTTCACTGTACGCATGCCCAATCTGTATGTACACGTACACGTATGTACTGCAAAACACTCAAATCTGTGGACAGCAACTGTTTCGCTCTGTTAGAGCTCCTCAGCATAGCTCAGAGGACCGAAGCGCAGCTCTTCGCAATGTACTGTAAAACATGTAATTTTCGGTACAACTTTAATTTCGGTGATCTCGGTACAGAAATCAGCCACCTAAATTACACCTAAAAGGCACTAGAGTATGCACTGTATGTGAACGGAATGCTGGTCACCTAATTCTACATTACACCTGAAACCTGGCAGGTCTCTGCCACCGAAATTTTAATGCACCTAAAATAATTACATGTTTTACAGCACCCGAAGACGTACCTTCGAGATCCGTTGCTACTGGCGCGGACCAGCGGTGGCGTGAACGACGCTGCAATCGCTCGCAATCTCATGGCCGGAGACGGTCGTGCACCTGTTGACGATGACGTCGCTGTCTGCAGTACTGGCAGGCCGTTGTTGTCCTTGTTATCACGAGAAGCACCAGCTGATGGTGATGGCTGCTGCTGCTGCGTTGTGGCCTGGCTTGGCCGCTGCGCTGATGGCTGTGATGCTGGTGCTGGAGTTTCCGTTGATAGGGTGCAGTGGGCGCGTGGTGCGATCAGTGACCACTCGTCGCACGACACGAACAGAAAGTCGGACGTCTGCGAGCGGCTACGGCTGCACGGAGAATGCACAGGACACACGTGCACGCACGTACACACGAGTACACACAAGTACACACACACACGCAGAGTTCAGACACAATGCAAGACTATATGTGCATGCATACACTCAGGCATGTATGGCAGGATGGTCTCTTCGACCAAGAGTACAAGAAACTCAGAGGGTGGGGTGCAGTTTGTGACTTTTTCTGCATGGGGGAAACTCTCCCCAACCCACCCAACAAACAAAACGTTTTGGTTGCGTGCAGCAAAAGACCGATAATTACGGACGACATCTTACCTCATGGGCACGGGTTTGTCGAGAACGGACATCTTGACCAGGTCCGGGAACATGCCCAGAGACGTGACGGACGAGAAATGCATGCTGCAGACAAACGAGTCGGCGCCGACGGAGCGCACCAGCCGGTCGGCGCCCCACGGCTGGAAGTCAATGCGATCCCTGGTCAGCCGTAGCGTGCCGCGTGCGATGCCCTACAGCACACGTCATGGAAACACACACACGCACACACACACACACACACACACAGAAATACAGCTGTGCTCAGTGAAATCCGATACAAAGTGCATACACGTACAGTCAACTTGGCTAATAACAACTGCGGATATAACGACAATTCGCCAATAACGACAGAATTTCCATGCCCAGAGCAAAGTCCCATCCAACCTGTATACATACAATGAGACTTCGGGTATAACGACACTTCGGGTATAACGACACTTCGGGTATAAGGACACTTCACGAGTAAGGACACTTTTCTGATGCCCCGTCGAGAGTCGTTATACGCAAAGCTGACTGTATTTGGGGTCCTGAACTTGCATGGGGGGGGGGGGGGGGGGGGGGGAGGTGATAGCAGCAGCAGAGAAAACAGACCCTATGGCAGTACAAAATGCAACACACGGAGAAACGACAGCAGAACCCCCCCCCCCCCCCCACACACACACAGAATTAGCACCACCACCACCACCACCACCACCACCACCACCACCACCACCACCACCACCACCACCACCACCACCACCACCACCACCACCACCACCACCACCACCACCACCACCACCATCACTACCACCACCACCATCACTACCACCACCACCATCACTACCACCATCACCATCACCACCACCACTACCACCACTACCATCACCACCACCACCACCACTACCACCACCACCATCACCACCACCATTCCAACACCAACAACAATGATAGAAGAATCAGGAACTCACCTCCTCCACATTGACGATCTGTGCATCAATAGCCACCAAGCTGTCGGTTATGATCTCTAGCGGCGGTGGTTCCTGGTTGCTTGGCAACATGGCCGAAGGCTTGTTTCGAATCACGGGCAAATCGTCCACTTCATCCACATCGGAAAAGTAGGACTCGACAACGTGTAAGGAACTGCTTGGGGAGGAAACGCTCTCCTTGGTACCAACTGACGAGATTTTGCTACGATTGGCGACGGCGGCTCCGGAGGCGACAGCACTGGGTGACTTAAGGGACGTGCAGCTTGAGGATGTGGAGCAGGCAGAGGTGACCTCGCCGACGGATTGGCAAGACGAGGTGGGCACGGCGGACACCGGTGAGAGCGCACTTCGCTCTGAGTCACACGAGCTGACGCCGCTGGACTGTAGGGTTTAGAAAATACACACACACACACATACACACAGAGGAAGAAAAGCAGAGGCTAAGAGAGTGAGTGAATTTGTGAGTGAGCTGAGAAAGAGAGAGAGAGAGAGAGAGAGAGAGAGAGAGAGAGAGAGAGAGAGAGAGAGAGAGAGAGAGAGAGAGAGAGAGAGAGAGAGAGAAGAGAGAGAGAGAAGAGAGAGAGAGAGAGAGAGAGAGAGAGAGAGAGAGAGAGAGAGAGAGAGAGAGAGAGAGAGAGAGAGAAGAGGAAGAGGGAGAGGAAGGGCGAGAGAGAGAGAGAGAGAGAGAGAGAGAGAGAGAGAGAGAGAGAGAGAGAGAGAGAGAGAGAGAGAGAGAGAGAGAGAGAGAGAGAGAGAGAGAGAGAGAGAGAGAGACCTCAACTGGGGGAACTCGTGCAGCTTTGCCTTCCAACTTTATACAAGCTAAAATACCAAAGTGCCCACCACCTGTGAATTAGAGAGAGAGAGTAGCTTGGATATACACTACCGCAATACAATGTCATGTGTCTAGTCATCTGCTATCAAACCCTATATTGTCAGTACTGTATAACATAGTACAGCAAAGACCCCCCTCCCCCACCACACACACACAAACACACACATACACATCACCACCACCACCACCACCAGCAGAAGCAGCTGCAGCAGGAGTAGCACCACACACACAGACACACACACACACACACACACACACGTGCACACAGACAGCTGACCTTTGACGCCCATCGCCGGAGGCGATGATAGCAATGCTACGGCAGAAGCCATAGCAACTTGTGCTGGGATTACACCATTCAACAGCTTGCAAGGCTGAAGAATTGACCGTCACTATTCAGCCTGGTCTACACCATACAGCTATTTGGAGTGACATTTTCTGGCCAGTGAATCCCTATTTTTGGTCTTTTCATTTTTTTTTTTCCCCGCACACACATCACACCACATACTCCGGCATGCACTGGCTGTTGGTAACCACCCAGGAGAATGAAAGAAAAAGTCAGGAAGAGTCTGAGAAAGAGAAGAAAGACGTGTGTGACCATAATCGTCGGGAATCGAACCCGCAATCTATCGATTGGAAATCGCTGCACATACCACTGCACCATATGGCACACAGACACACACAGACACACACACACACTGAGACTGTCACAGTTCCTGACGGTTACCGTCTGCTTACAGTTTGCGAGCACGGCAACCTGGTTGTCAGCGTTGTCTCGGCAACATCACTCCCTCTGCGGGTATTTCCCAAAGAGACTGGATCGGGTACAACGATGTGCTGCGGAACATTATATACACACAAAGGTTGCAAACACGCATATCAGGTCAGACTGGATAGAAAACAAGAAAGAAAAAATGAGGTGTGTGTGTGTGGGGGGGGGGGGGGGGGAGAAAAACTGGGATACTGTCAGATTGCGTGCGTGTTTTGGCACTCCTACAAAATCTAAACCACACTGCGTGGAGCCAATGACCTCAGAAGCACACACAGACGCACACGCACACACACACACATTGCCAATCTATGCACACACACGGTGTGTGATCAGCTCACACACACGTCGCCTCTCTTATCATGTATCTTCTTACCTGGCCGGGAAATATGTTGCGACTGGTCAGCTTGTTGAGCTGCTGAAGGGAGCTCGGTGTGGTGTTGAACCGCACGGCAACGCTGGGAAAGGTGTCCCGGTCACTCACCTATGAACACACGAGAGAGTGTGCATACCAGAGTGCACATACAAGCACACATGCACATACACACACGTACACACACACGCGCACACACACACACCATTGGACCATTGGACGCCCATCGCCGGAGGCGATGATAGCGATGCTACAGCAGAAGCCATAGCAACTTGTGCTGGGATTGCACCATTCAACAGCTTGCAAGGCTGAAGAATTGGCCACCACTATTCAGCCTGGTCAACACCACACAGCTATGAAGTGTTTTTTCTGGCCAGTGAATCTCTACTTTTCGGTCTTTTTTTTCACACACACACACACACAGACGCACACACACACACACACACACACACACACACACACACACACACACACACACACACACACACACACACACACACATATACACACACATACACACACACATACACACACCATGCACCATTTACATGTCCACCCTTGTTAGCACGACATTGGTAACAAGACAAACCTCATTAGTAGACAAAGATCCAAAAAACACCCTGGCGCTTGTAACACATTTAACAGTCTTTAGGGGCCGTCCGTAAATATCGAACTTTTTTCACCAAACGAATTATTTTAGTTTAGACCCAACCCCTCCCTCCCTCCCCCTCAGAACGTAAAAATTGTTGACATATACATGTACATGCATATACAAGAAAAGTCGCAAGTGTGTCATTGCTCCTATGGCCATGTACATGTATCGAACTTTTCTGAAACGAAATTGGTCAACCCCCTCCCACCCCATAACGAAATTATTTCGTTTCGTGAAAAAAGTTCGATAATTATGGACGACCCCTTAATACATGCCAGTCCGGAGAGTATAATGAATTATAATACTCGTTTTTAGACAACAATTTTGAAACCCCCGGCGTTGTCTACTAACGAGAGCAGACATGTACACCCGTTGCAAGAAAAGCACGCCAGTCCGCAAATGCACTGGACGTACGCCCATTGATTGTCTATCATTGTAGCAACAACGGCGGACAAGATCCGAATGAATTCATTCACACATACATACATGCGCACGCACGCGCACGCACACACACACACGCACGCACGCACGCACACACACACACACGTAGAGTTCACTCTCACCTCATACAGCATCAGGCCGGGTGTATCTGCGAGACCTAGAACACACAGAGAGGCAAGGAAAACGTAAATTCAAAAACAAAATAACAACGGGTCTAATCAGGATCCTTGTGCTCAGCAGTGTTGTGCATAGGCTGAGCACGCCAGCGCAAGTATTGTGCGCAAACCGAGCATGCCAGCATGAGTATTGTGCACAGACCGAGCACGCCAGCGCGAGTATTGTGCGCAAACTGAGCATGCCCGCATGAGTAATGTGCACGGACTGAGCATGCTCATTTACATTTACACAGACACACACACACGTGCATAGACAAACAATGTGCATAGACAAACACAGACACAGCACAGCACAGCACACACACACACACACACACACACTCTCTCTCTCTCTCTCTCTCTCTCTCTCTCTCTCTCTCTCTCTCTCTCTCTCTCTCTCTCTCTCTCTCTCTCTCTCTCACACACACACACACACACACACACACACACACACACACACACACACACACACACACAGCACACAGACAGCCACAGCACACAAGAACTTACGGCGCAAGACAGACGGAGAGATGCGAGAAGGTGGAGAGCCAAGAGCACTTTGATGGACCTCAACACCAGCACCACCAGCTGCACCAGCCCCAGCAGCAGCCACAGTATCTCTCATACCACCACTGCCTGTGGACACCACACTAGGTCTTCACAAGAGAATGCCACCGATGATACAAGAAACAGAGAGAGAGGAGGAAAAAACACGAACCCCAAAAATATTAGTTGTATTTTGTAAGTCTAAGGACTGAGCCAACACTTTTTTTACTTACACCAACTGGACATTGTGATAGTGATCATACCCACGCACATGCACACACAGACACCCACGGCCACGGGGCGCGCCCTGCACGCACGCGCAGAGCTAATCGCGTCAGTCTGTGCGTACACGCGTAAAGTGCACGACACACACATTATGTACGCACGGTCTATCGAGTACTGGCTGTCTACAGATCTAGTCAGTGTCCGACAATCGAATTGATCGGCGATCTAAATAATTCTCCACGCGCGACACACACCCCTAGAAGTAGAACGAGCTCACGTCCACAGCCGTGACGGACACCTCATTCCAAAGTCACAGGGCGAAAAGAAGACCCTCGGAAGTGCAGATGGGGCACCGGTGGTGCCATTGGAACGAAACGATTGGAGGCATAAGGGAACACCGGCTGACTCGAGACCAATACAAAACACATCGTATGCCCGCTGATAGTGACACTTGGGCCATCCTGTGGAGCTGCAGCTGCAGCAGCACCAGAGCATTGTGGAAGGCCGATGGGGGGCCCAACCAAGCAAGCAACATGACAACGGGTTGTTGAATCAGTGCATCAGCTACGACTGAAGGAAAACCTAGCAGCGACCCCATTCACTCTGACAAACTAGGAACATGAGTCGCTCCAGGATGTCACTCTCAAAAATAGCTCAAACTGAAATCTGCTTAGAAATGAATTGCCTATCGGGTGCTAGGTTAGCTCAAGCACAGACTGTCAGTGAAGCTAAGAGCAGGGAATTAATTAATAATGCCAAACCTACACATTGAACAATACCTTTTCCTTTCGTGAGTTGTCGCCATTCTCTCCAGTACCAAGTCTCACAACCATGAACAACCAACGCACGAGCGATTTTTCTCAGTTTCTTTGTTTCTCCCTCTACCACTCACTGACCAAACCAGAACTGCAGAAGCCAAGATCAAGGCAAGATCGAAGTGACTAAATAAATCGGTGATCTCTGCAGATCTGAGGCTGAGGACGCTGTCTGTTTTTGGTCAAGTCACAACACTCATTCACCAATAATTTTTCTGTTTTTGTGACATAAGTGGCGTGATATCACTCGAGCTCTGATGTTTGAGTTGGCGTCCCGACGTCTCCCGTGACGACAGAAAACTACTTGTACGTCATAATTTTCGGGACACGTGACCAGTCACCACGTGACACGCTGAAAATGTCGAACGAACACTGTATGTACTGTCAGTGTAGCCTAGATCTACAGATAAAAAAGAGAACAGATCAGTGCACAACCAACTACTACTACAACTAGTAGTAGTAGTAGTAGTAGTAGAATTTATTATTTTGATAGGGAAGGCCCTACAGACGTTGCCGTCTTGAAGCCGCCATTGTGGAAACTGCCTGCAGACGAATGCACCGATTCCATGCTTGATGCACTCACTGATTCCGCCTTCCGCAGAGTACCCCCAGATGGCTCACCAGACGTTAACACAATGGCAACTAGCTTCTCTATTCTATGCAAAAGAGTTCTGAACGAAAAGTCGCCTGTGAAACAAATTACCATCAGTGCTAGGGCTAAGCCTAAACCACAGCCTTGGGTAAGCGATCAACTCCGAAGGTTGTTAGAAAGGCGCAAGCACCTCCACGCGAGGGTTTTGAAACATCCCGGAAATGAATCTGTGAAACAACAGTACAGGGCAACAAGGAGGGAAGGCACACTGTTAAATAGAAAGCTGAGACGAGAGTATTACAACAGGGAGTTTCGAGATGTGAAGAATAAGCCAAGGCAACAGTGGGCGCTTCTAAACTCGCTCACAGGGCGCAACTTTGTCCGTGAACAACCAAAAGCTACGTTAGGCGATCTGAGTGCCACATTTGCGTCCATTGTCACTGATCCTAATCCTTGCCCACCCTTGAGCAACCTAATACCTGACATCTCGACAACAGCTGACGCAGACGCCCCATCTTTTAAAGAATTTCGTGCCGTTTCAGCTCTGGAGATAAGCGACCTGTTGAAGCATTTGAACTGTGCCAAGGCAGCTGGATCGGATGACATTCCTCCTCTGCTCCTACGCCTCTGTGAGCCTGCCGCTGCAGGTCCCATAGCGCAGATCATAAACGAGTCCTTGAGTACTGGAATGGTGCCAGACGTCTACAAATTGGCTACAGTGTGTCCTGTCCACAAGTCAGGGGACAAATCTGAAGCGTCGAATTATCGCCCCGTTTCACTTTTGCCGATTGTTTCTAAGATCCTTGAGAAGGTAGTACATCGGCAAATGATTAGGTTCCTTCAAGATCACGCTGAGCTTCGTATTCTCCCAGACGAGCAATTCGCCTACCGCAGAGGGCACTCCTGTGAGGATGCGTTAACTCTCGCAGTAAACCGCTGGATGATGAGTGTGGACAAGGGCGAGTATTGCGGGGTTGTACTCGTGGACATGAGCAAGGCCTTCGATCGGGTACGCCATGAACTACTACTTAACGAGCTTCAAGCTATTGGCATAAGCGGAGTAGCACTACAGTGGTTCTCCAGCTATCTCCAGGGTCGACGACAACAGGTGAAAATTGGAAATAACAGAGGAGACGAGACACATTGTACACGAGGCGTTCCGCAAGGGTCGGTGCTAGGGCCTCTGTTATTCTCTTTGTACGTGCGACATGTCCCTGGAGTACTTCGCCACGCAGAGTCCCAACAGTATGCTGACGATATCGCCTTTTATATACACTGTCAGTCTACTGGAGAACTTCAGCACAAGTTGACAAGTGAGTTGAACAGACTAAATACGTACCTTGGAAGCATTGGTCTCATCTTGAATGCCCAGAAAACGAAGTTCATGGTGCTTCGGAAGAAGGCTCTGCCTCTTCCGCCGGATCTTACCATTGCATGCGGTGGTGTCGATATTCGACCTTCTGCCACAGCGCGTTATCTTGGCCTCATTATTGACCAACACCTCACCTTTGAGGATCAAGTCAACCATGTGTGTACATCTGTTTATAAGAAGATAGGAGCATTCCGCCGCTGCCGCCGTACAGTAGATCACACAACTAAGCGAATATTTTATTTATCCCTCATCCAATCCACTATTGAATACGCCAGCAACTCGTATGCTCACTGTCTTACACCATCTTTATACTCTCGCCTTGTTACTTTAAGTCATATCAGCATGAAACAGGTTTTTGGTCTCCCTCGCCGTACCCCGACTGTCTTTGTTTTGCGGCACGCTAAGTTATACTCCCTCGAATCTCGTCTCAACTTGAGGCTTTTTATTTTTGTTTTCCGCTGTATTCATCAGCTTACAAGTCCTCTTCTTTCCTCAATGTTCACCCTCCAGTCGGCTGCTACTTGCACCGAGAGGCGCACTAGAGGGCAATCATTCTCTTCACTTTCTTTGCCCGCTGCTACCACTAGATATGGCATGTTCTCCATTTCTTTCCTTGGCGCTGATAGGTGGAATTCTCTGCCTGTCTCGTGTCGTCAGGTTGAGCATCTATCCGTTTTTGTTTCGCTCTGTAAAGAGCACTTAGGGTTCCCTGTAACAACTACAACTATTACTTACATATTTGTGTTAGTTACAAGAAGAATGCAAGTCGCGACTCGAGTATGTACTGATGTATCATTGTATGCGCGAGTGCGATATCATGATTATCGCATCAGAAAGAGTGCGGTACGAAGAAAGCTTGCAAGAGTACGAGTACATCATGTGTAGATCTACATGAAGTGTACATGACTGTACATAAAAATTAATGTACAGTACAGTCATGTAACTCCCATGCATTCTCTTGCCGTCTTGACTCTTGACCCAGTCTTGTCAGTCTTGTCGCTCTTGTCGTCTTGAGTTGAGTCTTGGTGCTACATGTATACACCATGTACACTAGGGACCGGGGATTCTGCTCGAAAGGCAGAACCATACAAACCTTATGGCGGGCAATTCCTCGAATTCTGCTCCATTTCTTTATCCACATACCAAACATGCATGAAACTTACCAGAAAAAGTACCGAATTCTGCCAATTTTTCTGCCGGCAGAATCCGCCGGACCCTATACTTTATAGGCCTAATGTACTCGTACACGGTTGGTAGATTCTACACCATGGACCATGGTACACGCCTACAATCTACATGTACATGTACGTACATGTACGTACAGACTACGCTCTTCCCTTGTCGGCCTTGGTGTACAGGCTGATGTATGTTACTATGTACAGCACTCGTACTCGAGTCGTAGTACTGCCGCCTATAGTCTAGACTAGAGGTATACCTCTACTCTAGACTACTCTAGCCTAAACTAAAGTATTTTTTTAAGGCCTCTTTATTTCTTCCTTTCCTCTGGCCTAGGCTAGGCTCGTACTCGTATAAATAATCATCATCATCATGATCTACTACACTGCTGGCAACTGAAATCCGACCCCCTGGGCGGTGCGTTCACTTTCTAGCGGCCTCTACATGTATTTCGTAGTGTTACAATCCCACGCCAGGTCTTTGCGATGTACCGCTCAGTAAGGGATCGGATTTCAGTTGTCAGCACTGTAGTATTCTTCATTGTACAACTACCGGTTGTGATTTGACTTGATGCCACAGGCACCATGGCATTGGCAGGCAGGCAGTGCCGCTGGCCCTCTGCCTGCATCATTGCATGCTGTCTGGTGCCTGGCTGGGGTGGTGTTCTGTCATTGTCAACACAACAGACATCACCGAGTTCGAGCCTGACTGAGTCTCCACGCGCAGAGAAGGCCTAGCCTGCTCATGTCACTCGCGCAGGCGCTAGGCGGCAAAGACAAAGTAAAGCGGAGACAGGAGAGGCTAGACTAGAGTAGAGTAGAGGGTACAGCACTAGCCACTACTGTAGTACTACATGTACAGTGAAACCTGTCTAAGGCGACCGCGCTCATTACAAGGGACCTTCAAAATGTGGTCTCTGTCACCAGGTGGTCTCCTTATCCAGGGACTGGAAATAGCATCCCTTTGTCCTGGTTACACTAACAGTGGTCTTCTAATCTAAGTAATAATTTAGTTCTGGAGCAGGTGGTCGCCTTATCCGAGTAGTCGCCTTGACAGGTTTTACTGTGGTAGGCAGGCCAGCATAAGGGGAAGGGAGGCTCCCGCCCATCTATGACTATGATAGGGGGTGATTTTTCTTGATGATGTCAGAATCAGATGAACACTTTTACTGTAACACGAGAAGGCCTAAAAAGGGCCTTGGCCTTCTCGTGTTACAGTGACTGTTGCTCCTCAAAAGAATGTCAGGACTCAGGCCAGGGGTCCTTCCGCGATGATACCGATAGGCTCAGCCGCTATCATCGTGATCATACGCCATACCCCGCCATACCAAGCCTAGCTTCCCAAGACGGTGCTGCAAAACCAGATGATCTGAGGCTTCTGAGCGGAATGTAGCCATTTGTACTGTCTTTTGTAGGCACCAGGTCCAGGGCCTAGTACTAGTACTACTAGCTAGCTAGCTAGGCCTAAGCCAAGGCTATGCCGATAGCTATGCCTAGGCTGTAGCCCAGCGTGGGCCAGTTTGTATGGCTTAGCGGCCTACAAGTTCAACTATTACTTCAACTATACCTTACTAGGGCCCGGGCGGCTCTAGGGGTGTGCGGATAATGCTCGAAAAAGGTGGCAGATTCTGCTCGAAAAGCAGTGATAATGGCAGAACCA